AGCCGGGGCCGGGGACGCTCGGGCGGGCGCGGGGCGGCAGGTCGTGGAGGCCTCCTCCTTCCCTTTCCCCTCCAGGATCCCGAGTCGTTTCCTCAATATGCAGTTCCCGGGTGCGCGTCCCCGCGGGGTGCGCGTCTCCCGGTGCGCGCGTCCCTGGAGGTCTCGGGACGCAAACCCGGCCGTGTCACATTCCGCGGCCGCGGGGTGCACACCACCCCGGGCTTGTTTGAAATTGGTAGTTCCAACTGAAAGTGGAGGGAGGGGACTGAGCCAGGCTTTGAAACAGTTACTTTTTAGCTGTTTGTGCAAAGTGAGCCCAGGGGTCTCGCTGTACTCCGTATATGAAATGCGGTTGTTAAGGGGGTGATTAATTGCTACAGTTGTCCATTTGCCATTTCCTGCAGTGATGGTCTTGAGAGTAACACTCAGGACCAGAGTCCAGGCACAGCGCACAAGTTCTGCTTTCTGGGTTGTTCCCCCGCCCCCCACTGAAGAAAAATGTGAGAATAGAATTTCTTAAGGTTCGCTTAACTCAGTGACTTATAATAATTTTATTATCAGTGATGAGTGATTGGAAAAATCAAGGTAATTATCTTTGAGCTTGGTAAACTTACCCAGCCCAGGAAGTTTTGAGTGTCTGGTTGTTAGATTTATTTTATTCCTTTAACCACTGTTTGTGGTTCATGTGTGTTTTTTTTTTTTTTTTTTTTAACTTGATTCCTCACATTGTGTACTTTACAATTAGAATTTTATCTGTGGAATTGAAATTTTCACTCTTCTGGAGTGCTTAGTGGCATTTTGCACTTTTGAAAGTCTTGAGTATGTTTTGTCTATGTGACTGCAAAAAACAAAGATTAAAACTCAAACTGTAAGTACAGTAATTACATATTTTTAGAGCTTTAAAATAAAAGTCCTATCTGATGATTGAACAGTCTGACCATATCCCTTCTAATGACTTTAAAAAGTTTCTTTTGAAAAGTATAAAGCAGTACAAATTCAAATAACATTTTTGAAATATTTGGGAATAACTTTGTTACACATTGTTAACAAAAAAAGAATTCTTTAGGGTGAAAAAAAATGTCTGAATTTAAGGGTATTTCAGAGACGCTCAGTGCTACATTGTATTGAATATACAAATGTTTTGGATGCTAATAAGGGTCTAAAAGTGAGTCCTTACCCTTCCTTGTAAATGTTGTTTTAATATAATAACTAATATTTATGGAATATATACTGTATATGGCAGAAGGCTCTGTGGAAAATGCTTTATACGTAGTATCTCATTAGTACTTAAAACCATTCTGAGTTAATGTCATCTAATTAAATCAGTTTTTCTTGTTTTAGGATCTGTAATACCTGTTGAATAACTATGGAAGACTACACCAAAATAGAGAAAATTGGAGAAGGTGAGTGGTTTTAATAATATATACATTTTAAGAAATTATTTAACAATGCTACTTGTGTAACACTGAGGACACATAAATATTAAGATGCAACATTAAGATATCTTGTAAGCTGAATGTGATAGTGCATACCTGTTATTCCAGCATTCTGGGAGGTTGAGGCAGGATGATAGTTCAAGCCCACCCTGGTCAATTTATGGACTTCCTCAGATGCTGTGGCAAAATAAAATATTAATAAAGATGTGGAGATGTAGTTCAGTGCAAAGGCCCTGGTCTCATTCCCAGTATTGCATGGGAAAAATGAAGTGTCTTCTAGTAGTAATATGGATTGATGTTCTGCTATGACTCCTTGGTAACTCCTCCGCCCAACAGTTAGAATTTTTGATAGTAAACATTTGAGTGTTTGTGTTTTGAAAACACTATAATTTGTGTGTTTTGGGAGGACAAAGATTAGGACAGTAGTAGTATACTAATTTCATAAAATGTTTTTAGTATATAAAACTAAATTTTACCTAAAGTTTATTAAGCTGGTTATAATAAATTAATTAAATTTTTATTTTTAATATAGGGTATTCCTGGGTAATTTAGGACAGTCTTGAACTCACTGTAGTGCAGGCAGTCCCCAAATTTAAGATTCTCTTGCCTCAGCCTCCCAAATGCTGGGATTACAGGCATGCAGTATCCCTACCCAGCCTACAATAATTGCTTATTAAACTAATTTACAATAAAGTTTCTAGAGTGAATGGTCTGGCATATGTTTGTGTGTAAGTCACTCTAAAACTAGTAACTTTTGTGCGTAATCATTTGCATTTTGCAGTGTTTCACTGAGTGTTTAGATCTAGTTAGACGTGGTGGCATACACCTGTAACCCCAGTTACTGGGGAGGCTGAAGCGGGAGGATAGTGAGTTTGAGTCTGGCCTGGGCAACTTAGTGAGGTCTTACCTCAAAATAGACTCTAAAGAGGGCTGGCTTGTAGCTCAGTGGTAGAGCACATGCCTAGCATGCAGGAAGCCCTAGACTCAATTTTCACCACCAAAAAAAAGATCTATGTAGCATAAATAAGAGAGAAATATATCTCTTTGCCTAGAGGTTTTCTGTTTGTTTTCATTTTTTTGAGACTAGGTCTTGGCTATGTAGTTCAAATTGCCTTTGAACTCACCATATAGCCCAGGCTGGCCGGAATTTGCCACAATCTTCCTGCCTCAGCTTCTTAAATGCTGAGATTATAGGCGTGCACCACCACACCCAGTCAGCCTGGGTTTTTAAAATTTTTTTCCCTCACGGGACATCCAAGTTTGTATACAGAAATTCTGAAGTGCTTGTTTACAGCGTTCTAGGAGCAAATGATAAAACTTGTACGAAGAAATTTGCTATTAGAGTCCAGTTTATATGTATTCTGCTTGAGAAACATTTTCATCTTTTGTTCACTCAAAGACTGCAGTAATGCAAGGCATATTAAAAAATGAAGTGAGGAATACTGTATGGAATTTAGTAAGATAGAATGACCGAGGTTTAGTGTTGAGTGGCAATATATTGTTAGGTCTTTTTAGAAAATAATTCTCTTAAATACATTATGCAGTCCATTCTACTAAGCTAATTTTGCTGCTGAATTGAAAGTATCAGATGTTAAGCAGTTACTATTGCTATGACCGCTGTCTTCACAGCTATCTCTACACTGTACCCACTTGGCCAGCCTCACTGATACTCCAGTTGGAGTTTCTTTGATGTCCTCAAGTGTGATCTACCTTTTAACCTATAGGTCTTTGGCAGTGGTTCCTGGAAGCCACCCCACTGTTAGTGGCTTTACTCTTCATCTCCTTGGACTTGGCCAAGAGAGCTCAATAGTTCCATTGGCATCATGTCCACCATCTTTTTGTTTTGTTCTGGTGGTACTGGAGATTGAGCTCAGGGCCTTTGCACTGAGCTACATGCCCAGCCCTTTTTAGTTTTCATTTTGTGGTGGGATCTTGCTAAATTGCGAGGCTGTCTGAACTGCTCAAACATGGGATCCCATCTTGGCCAAACTCTTCTGGAACTTTCTATCTTCCTGCCTCAGCCTCCCAGAGCATTGGGATTGCAAACGTGTACCACCACATATGACCTAATCCCTTTTTTATTTAATTGCTGTATTGCAAGCTGCGTGAATGCTGGCAGTTTTGTCTTGTTCTCAAGTGTTTACCTATTGCCTGCCAGTGTGTGTAGCCCCCAGGAGATACTCAAATATTTGATGACATTATTTTCTTTTCCATATATGTTTTTCTGAACTATGTCATTTCATCTCTTTTCTACCATGTTTTGTCTATTCCAGCGTCTGGCTGTTTGGGGATTCTGTACTGGGTATTGTTTGGTTTAGTTTGGTTTTTGTTTGTTTTTTTTTTTATTTGTTTTAAAGACAGTGTCTTACTGTGTAGCCCAGGCTCGCCTCAAATTAACCTCTCCATCCTGCCTCAGCCTCCTAAGTGTCATTTGACTGGATAATATTTTGAAAAATTAACTTGTGGAAATGAGATGTAGATGATGTCTCATATGCAATTTTCTTTTGTTTTCTGCCAGGTACTTGGTCAAGCTCTTCGTATTTAAATACTGTGGTGATTTTAAACTTTATTCCTCAACTTATTATTTTGAACATTTCCAAACCTCAGATAATTTGAAAGATTTATATGATGGACCTATAATATCTTCACAAAGATGTTAGTGGCTTGTCACACTTTCTGTGTGTGCATTAGCAATTTTTCTTTTAGATACATTTCAAATAGCATAGATGGGCTGTACTCCTAAACACTTCAGCATGTATCTTCTGAAGAGCTACCTAAGGTTATGCATTTCATTTGGCAGTTTTGCCTGCATTTTTTCTAATTTAAAATCTTGTCTTTGGTCCGTGGGTGGGTGGGTGGGGTGTTGCTACTGGGAATTGAACCCAAGGACTCTGCGCTGGGGTATCCCCAAGCCTTTAAAAATTTTTTTTTAAATTTTGAGAGCATCTCTCAAGTTGCCAGAGTGGGCTTGATTTTCTCTTTTGTTTCGTGATGCTAGTGATCAAACCCAGAGCCTTGTGAATGCTACACAAGCCCTGTATTGCTGAGCTATATCCCCTGCCCTTTGTGTTTTGAGGCAGTGTCTTGGTAAATTACCCAGTCTGATCTTGTGTTGGCCTCTAGGCTAGCTTGGGTTACAAGCGTGTACCGCCATACTTGGCCTAATTTATTTCTTAAATACATCTAGACTTCTTTTATGTTGGATATTACAAAGCTGTTTTTTAGTTTCTGAATTTAAAAATCAGAGTGTTGTCATGCTAGTCTTTGAGTGTTTTCTTGTGTGATGACAGTGTCTTTAGCTGATAAAGCATAGCTGTAGCCATGATGGAGGAAACTTACTGGCATTTAGTAGACGCTCTGTGAAATGAAGGCTTACTGCTTACCCCTGGGGCTTCCATAGCTGATCATTCCTGCTTTGTATTTCCTGGGAGAAGTCTTATTAGACTGGTCTCCTTCCAAGCTTTTCTGTTACCATGACGTTTACCTGCTTTTAAGGTAGTATTTTTCTTTTGTTCTTCCTTGGTTACTTATTAAGCTATTTAAAATAGTTCTGTATCTATAATACTTACTCTGTTTTAGAGTGTGTACTGTGTATTTCCTCGGTAATTTTTGGTGATTAACCAGTGAAATTATTCTGCTTTATTTAATCTCTATTCTGGTAGTTCAGTGAGAAGTGGTAACAGTTCAAAGAGCATCAGAAAGAAGAGACAGAACGCTAATCTCTAAAATTCAATGTAATGAACATGCGGTGTTGGCCAACAGTGCTTATCAGTTAACTGTAGATTACGTAGGACTAGATGAGATTATATACTTGAAGAAGAAAAGATACAAAGAATCTGAATTTCCTATGAACTGCTTTGCTATATTATACAACTGACTAATCTTCTTGAGACAATATGAATACTGCCAAGTGTGCTACTGCTGTAGCAACCTTTTGTGTTTAAATGTAAGTATAATATGCATCCCCCAAAATGATCAGCTGTTAAGTGTACAAAAGATTACCTACCTTTTTGACAGTGTTGCTAATGGAACCCAGGACCTCATGCATGCTAGGCCAGTGCTCTGCCACTGAGCTAAATCTCCAGCCCCAAAGGTCACCTAATTTAAAGATGGCTGAAGCTTGAATACAATCAGCTCTCCTTTAATCTGGAACAATTTTGATCATTTCAAGTAACAGCTAATCCATAATTTAACCAAAATATGGATTGGGTTTATTTAAAATTATCCATTTAAAATGGCACTAGTATTTAGGAAAACATGTAGGATTTTAAAAATTGGCAGCAAAGTTTGTGTAACATCAATTTGCAGTTGATCAATCTGCATGAATTCAGATGAAGCAACTGGTAGTATCAGTAGCTTTTAGCTTATTTAGCTCTTACATTGAGAGAAACTAATCAAAACAATAGACTTTATCAAGAATATGTATTCTGGTCACTTTTGTAGTTATAATAGATGTCATGGAAAGCTGAAACTGGGCTGGGGATTCAGCTCAGCGGCACAGCGCCTGCTTGGCAAGCGCGAGGTTGTGAGTTTGATTTCTGGTGCCGGAAAAAAAAAAAGAAAGGAAAAAAAGCAGAAGCTTTTCCACAAAATTCATCTATAACCAAAGGCATTTTACAGCTTCTTAAATTCCAGCCTAAATTGAAAAATCACTTTTCCAGGGAATTAAGTGCAGCATGTATGTGAACTTATTTTCGGTAACTAGTCCATTTTCCTTATTGCCATTTCTGTTTTCTGTGTCCACCCTCCCCCACTTTCACAGTCCCTTACACTGACATTGTTGCTCATTATCTGAAGGATTTATCAGTATCAGGTTTTTTTGTTTTGTTTTGTTTGTCAACTTGGGAATGGATGAGCTTTTCCTATGTAGTAGATCATGTGGAGCTTTATTGTAATAGTTTGTAAAAACACCTGATCCTTTTTGTCTTCATTATTTTCTGGATGAGGATTGATGACCATATTTTAAAATGTACATAGCCAGTCATGGTGGTACACGCCTGTAATACTAGCACTTGGGAGGCTGAGGCAGGAGGATCGCCTCAGGTTTGAGGCCTGCCTTGGCTACCTTAGTAAGTTGAGAGCTATCCTGAACTACATAATAAGACACTGTCTCAACTCCCACACCCCAAATTATATAAGTATCTTGAAAAGCATAAATTATAGTTCTGTGTTACGGTGACTAAGATTTTTACATAGTGATGTGTGCCTGCTCTTGTTCTGTGGGATATTTGGCAGGAGGTAAATTTCAGTGAATTCTCCTGTTATGTACTGGAACATTAATAGTACTTCATTAATATATAGCACTTGTGATGGCTACATGAATTTACTTATTAGCCATGTACACAATACTTTGTAACTACCTTCATTTTCTTTTGGAAGCAGTAAGGATATGGTTATGAGTAAGATACTTTCTATCTGACCACAGCAGACTTTCTATTGTGTGACATCTTAAGGAATTTAATCATTTTTAAAATCTTTTCAGTTGTGGGATGTGTGGCATAGCAGATACTTACTTTTGTATTTCAGGTACTTATGGAGTTGTATATAAGGGTAGACACAAAACTACAGGTCAGGTGGTAGCCATGAAGAAAATCAGACTGGAAAGTGAAGAGGAAGGGGTTCCTAGTACTGCAATTCGGGAAATTTCTCTATTAAAAGAACTTCGCCATCCAAATATAGTCAGGTATGGCATGCTATCGGAACTTAAGCTATTTTCTGCGTCTTACTTCAAATGTGAATTTCATTCGGGAAAATAGTACATTTTCTTAATTTCTGGTCTAACCTTTCTGAGTGGAACAGAGTCCTACTCTTTTTATTTATTGATGTTAAATGCTGGGCATAAATACAAGAATAGTCTGTTAAAGCAAGAATAGAGTTAGAGGGGCTTAGTTGTAAAAATCCGCTTTGGGAGCTGGAAAAGCTGGGTAAAGTGGGCTTAGGAGAAGGAAACTTGGAAAGGCTTTGTGAACTATCTCCAAGTCTGGGGGCTTTAGTCTTAAAGATCACCCCTTCTACTTTAAAAGTTATTTCTGTCATTTACTTAAGTGGGAGGACAATCTGAGCAATGGGTAGCTAATCTAGACTCATTATTTTGGAATACACCTTATGAATAATGTAGCACCTCCTATGTAATAAAGCTTGTTCTCCTGATGTTCCCCTTTCAAATTCTAGGTTTATATTAAGATTTTTTTTTTCTAGTTTGGAAACTACCATCTCTTTCCCCACTTTTTATAATAATTATTACTACTTTCATGAAAGAGAAGCTGAAAATGTTTGCTGGAATTTTTGTTTCATAAAATTATTTTTATCCTTCAGTCTTCAAGATGTGCTTATGCAGGATTCCAGGTTATATCTCATTTTCGAATTCCTGTCCATGGATCTCAAGAAATACTTGGATTCTATTCCTCCTGGGCAGTTCATGGACTCATCGCTTGTTAAGGTGAGAAACATGACTATTTTTATTATATTTAACCAGTGTGAATGAAGTCTTCTTTTTGTAGAGTCTTTAAATTTTATGAGAATATGCTTGGAAAGAGTACTTTACTTTCCCCCCATACAGATTAGATAAACATGTACCTATCGATTAGTGCTTCTAGTAAGTGAAAAGTGATGTCTGTGATAACATGGAACGAAAAATAATACTGTGTGTTATATTTGAGGATTCTGGTCTTTGTTTGTTCAATAGGTTTAAAACAGCAGAGACCTGGAGCAAATGGTGGTGGTAGATGGCTTTATTTTATTCTAGTTAAAATATGTTTTCAAGCTGAGTATGATTGTGCATGTCTGTAATTCCAGCACTTAGGAGTCTGAGGCAGAAGGCTGAAATTCTGAGGCTGGCCTGCGTTATTAATTACATAGCTATTGAGACCGGGCTATATTACTTAGACATCCTGTTTCTAATAGCGGGGGGGAGGGGAAGGGTGTGTGGGTTAATATATTCTAGACATTTATTATATATACTTCATGTAAGTTAAAAAGTTTTAAGAGTATTAAAATGTGTAAAGTAACAGTAGTTCGTTCTTACACTAACAACTGACCATTCTTCAGAGATAGCTATTATTAATTTTATTTGTAATCTTATAGATCTCTTGTACAAATGGAATTATTTATATTTTATATATATAAACTGGCTTTTTGGATGTAAACTGACATGTACATCTATCTGTGTCTGTTTGCATTTTTAATAGAATTTTTTAAGCCATTTCTATGTTTATGGACAGCTAGGTTGTTTTCTAGCTTGGTGATGGTTTTTATTAACCATACTGAAGTATCTTTATATTCCTCTTTGTATGCAACTTTGTAGGATAAATTTCTATTATGTGAAAAGGACATGCTAATATTTTTTATTTCACATTTAACATTTTTTTGTTCAATCGTTTATAGATAGCCGGTATCTCCTCACTGGTTTAATAATTTCTTTCGTTATGTTTTACATTTTATCTTTTTGCCTTATTAGTTGTGTATACTGTTAATAAATTTTATAATATATATAAAAAGCCTTGTCTGACTTTTGGCTTTTCAGTTCTATGTCTTGTTTAAGCCTTCCTCACTTGAAGATAATACATATTAGAAGAGTAAATGACAATATTTTTCTAATGCTTTTAGTAGAGCCTCCCACCATACCCCCTCATACCTTTTTGGTCTAATTCTGACAGATTTACTTTGTTTTAAGAACTAAGTATAAATCCAACTTTATTCCCCGACAGCCAGTTGTCCTAACTGGTTTTATGTATTTTCTAATGTCACACTTTCCACACAGTATTTTATTGTGGAAGATATTTCTGTAATACTTATGTTGCTTCAAGTGATAATTACATTGTCTTTGATAAGTTTCCTATAAAACACCTATTTCTGAGCTATTCTATAGCACTTTATTATTAATTATATCCATTTAAATAAATAATCAATATCCTATCTGCCGTTTATTTTGGAATACTTGACTAATGTTTTCAAAGAGGAAATGTATGCATAAAGATGAAAGGTAGAAATGAAAAAGACCAGTTTTATTCAATATAAAAACACAGCAGGTATAAACATACAAAAGAAAATTTAAGAAAATTCTACATAGACGACTAAGCTGAGATTTAAGGGTAGGCTGCCAAAAATGAGTAAAAGTGGAGTGAGTGCATATCGATGCAAATATGTCCACAGGTAAATATCTAACTCTGGGTTATGCAAGCATATTGTATAGAAATGGCTTCCCACACACAAATGCCTGTTGTTCAAAATGTCCTGAAAGCTTTTTTGGTACCTATTTCCCTGCATCATAATGTCTTACGCCTTTGAAACCGAGTAAAGACTAGTTAGAAAATCCTTTGTGGTATGATTAAGTTTCTTGTATCTATTTCTTTTTTCCAGAGTTATTTGTACCAGATCCTTCAGGGTATTGTCTTTTGTCACTCTAGAAGAGTTCTTCACAGAGACTTAAAACCTCAGAATCTGTTGATTGATGACAAAGGAACAATTAAACTGGCTGACTTTGGTCTTGCTAGAGCCTTTGGGATACCCATTAGAGTATATACACATGAGGTAAGGAGAATAGTGATTTTGGTGCTTTTGAATGTGTGATTGTTGAATTGTTTCCTGTATTTAAATTAAAAAATACTCAAGAAAAGATTTCTGCTCTGTGACGATATCAATTTATTGCTTCTCAGTTCCAAGTTGACCCTTTATTACATGCTATGTGAAAATGGAACTGGAACCATGAAATATTTCCCCCTCTGCCAGCTGCTGTATTAAGATTTGTCCCTAGAGGGTACTGGAGAGGCACTTAGAGTTGTCACTATTTCTTAATAATCTTGTTTATTCAAACCCCCATCACAGTTTAATTCTTTAAACTTTTCCCATTCAAATGATGGTGTGGTTTCTGTCTCCTGGTTGGACCTTTGCTGATACACAAGCATATTGATTACAAAATATATTTTGTTGCTTTAGGGGGTGGTATTTCTGATACATGATCCATTTAGAAGTCACTACATATTCCTCTTCTTTCTTTTCCCTCCCCTCCCCTGCTGTCCTGTCTTTTCCTTTGGTTCTGAACCTAGGCCTTTGTGCATGCTGGGCAAGTGCTCTCCCACTGAGCTACATCTCTAGCCCTATTGTCAGGTTTTGTCAGTATTATATTGACAGCTTGGTATTTTCATTTCTGGATAGAAAGGAAATGTTAAACTGTCCCCATGGCTTCTGTATAGTTGTATACCTTTAAGCCTAAAGACTGACTGCAGATCAAAACTGGTAATATACATCTTGTTAGATGTCCTGGTTTCTTGTTAGTTTTCTCATCGTTATAAGCAGTAGTAGTTGGTTCTCTTTTTTCCTCATTAGCTATGCTCTAAGTTAGACGCTATATTTTTTTCATTATGATACATTAAGATGGTTAATTAGTTCTAGGTCACTGATAAACTTCCTCGGTTAGTTGTGCTCTTAATTTGTGTTAACATGGAATCTTAATTGTCATTTTAGCACCTAAGCAATGCCTGCTGTTTCTACAGTATCATCCCTAAGTCCCAAACCTATTACTAATAATTTTTTATTTAGGAGATTAGACCCATAACTGTTTTGATCTTTCTGCTTTTGGTATTTGAAAGGCAAGAAAAGATTTGTGTGTTCTACCTCCCCACGTGAATAGAACTCAGAAATGAAATATTTAGTATTTTACAGATAGTTAATTTGCTGAAACAGTATTATTGCTGACCATTGTATAGCTTTCTACAGGACAGTCCTTATGAAATATAAATGTTTAACTTTAGGTAATTTAATGCATGCTTACTCACTGTAAAACTTGCTTTGCAATAGGTAGTCACACTCTGGTACAGATCTCCAGAAGTATTGCTGGGGTCAGCTCGTTACTCTACTCCAGTTGACATTTGGAGTATAGGCACCATTTTTGCAGAATTGGCAACGAAGAAACCACTTTTCCATGGGGATTCAGAAATTGATCAACTCTTCAGGATTTTCAGGTACTGTTATTTTAAGCTTAAACTGTTCAAATCTTTTGCATTAAATAATAAAGTTGACATACATATAACAAGATATTCTTGCTTTAACTGGTAGTTTCTGGTTTTGCTACTGTTTTTAGAGCTTTAGGCACTCCTAACAATGAAGTATGGCCAGAAGTGGAATCTTTACAGGACTATAAGAACACATTTCCCAAGTGGAAACCAGGAAGCCTGGCATCCCATGTCAAAAACCTGGATGAAAATGGCTTGGATTTGCTCTCGGTAACCAAGACTTTACATCTTAAGCAAGACATATTTTTCTACTTCAGGACTTTAATATTACTGATGGCTCTGCATGCATTCAGTCCTTTCTTTCACCTAGGAGAGAGGGAGAAAACTGACATATTTTGAGTTTAATTTTTTTCCCTTGTGCTTTTGGGGTACTGAGGATTGAGCAACTGCCTCCACTGTGTTTTGATTTTAATGTGATAGGTTGCTCTATATATTCTAAAGGAGATGCCCAGGATTATACACTTTTTATTTTTGCTTTTCTTTGTGACGCTGAGGTCTCAGACATGCTTTTTAAGCCTTCTGCCTCTGAGCTATAGCCTTGTTCTTTCCAAATTAGTGTAGTTGCCTTCCCAGCTTTTGTCTCAATACCTACCAGTGAGCCCCTTTTTTAGTTTATCCTAGAAAGAAATGCTTTCTTTTCAGTTGATATTTTTGGTTATTGAAACTCTTCAATTTGTGTCCAATTTTCTCCATCAGAAAATTCAGAAGGACTAATATAGTTCTTAATCTTTTTTCCTCTACTACATTGCTACTTCCAATTAACAATTGTTTCATTTAAAAACAAGACAGAGAAGAAATTAACCACTGGAGGGAAAAAGCTTACTTTAAGAAGCTTATTTTAGAATAGTATTTAAACTTTGAATTTTTAGAGGACCAATTTTTGGTAAAGCTCATATGACTTCATGTCAGAAAAAAAGCTTTAGCAGGTCTAAACAAAAGGAAAAAAATATACATTGCAGTATCATGAAATATATTTTCTAATTGGTCTTTGAGCTCCTTTCAGAATATATAAATCATTATGTCACCAAATTAAGCTCAAATTTTCCATTTGCTTATTTATGCTTGAAGTCCAAAGTCCTTTACCTATATATATGTCAGCTTTCATGTCACTGGGGTGAAATCCTGATCAACTACAATTTAAAAGCAGAAAAGTTTATTTTGACACAGTTGCCATGGGCTCAGTCCATGGTTTACTAACTCCAGGGCAAAAATAACCACGATGAAGGGGACTAGTGGAGGAAAGCTGCGTGCACAGTGACAGCCAGGAGGCAGAGAGAGGGAACATTTATTAGCCCATTCATCAGTGGACTGACACACTTGAGTACAGCAGCCCCCAACCCAGTGACCTTTCAGAAGTCCCACCTCTGAATACATGGGACTCTGGGGAGGCATTTTAGATCTAAACCATAAATTATTTTGTAATATCAGTATAGTTGACTATCTCATGTAGCTTATGTTAAAGTAATGGAAATGTTTCAGACCCAACCTACCTTTAACTTCTAAACTTCTCAAACACAAAAAATTTCGCTTTGGTTAGTGAAACGAAAACAAACCTCCATAAATCAGTTCACTCAGTCTCGCCGCATGTGACATCTTGGACTAGATCACTCTTGGGACTGTCGTGTGTACTGCAGCATAACTCACTAGTTTCATGAGCTTGGGCAGGTTGCTTCACCTCTTCTAGGTTTGGTGTCCTCATTTGTCAAGTATCTGCCTTTTATGAGTGTACAGTGCTGGATAGGTAGAGCACAAATGGTAACTAATTAGTAAAAGTAATCTGCATGCATTTGGTCTTCTTTAAGGTTAATATTTTTTAAGAGAAATACCAAACTTTACTGAGTTTTTTCTGGTAATGTGTAAATAATACTAGTTGCTGGGTGGTAATTCACATTGTGGTTCATTTTAGTAACACATGGTTCTGTGGGTTTTTTCTTTTGTTTCTAATTTAAAGCTTCTTTGAAGCTGTATCCAAAACCACAATAGTTAACTGCCACCATTCTAAGAATGTGGTAAATAACTTGGATGGCCATTTAATTCTTAAATATAATTAGCTAAATAGATACCTTTCTTAAATGTATGCCTTAGATTTAAAGCTATCTCTGACTGCTGTGTCTTACTATGATTTGTAACAAAAAGATTATGAAGATATTTATGAGTTAAAGGAGCAGATTATTCTAGACTTAGAGGGAGATAATTTGGAGGAATGAGACATTTATGTAGCTTGTGTTAAAGTAATGGAAATGCTCATTTAGTAGATTTTACTAAAAATTTTTTTTTTTTTTTTTTTTGGTTTTTCTCCCGTACCGGGAACGGAACTCACGACCTTGCGTTTGCCAGGCAGGCGCTTTTGCCGCTGAGCTAAATCTCCAGCCCCTGATTTTACTAAAATTTTTAGCAAATTATTTATTGGTTTAAAAAGTTAAGACTATATAAATTTTGGTTTGTTTTCTAAGACTTTCTTCCTTTTTTCTTTCTCTTCCCAGAAAATGTTAGTCTATGACCCTGCTAAACGAATTTCTGGTAAAATGGCACTGAATCATCCGTACTTTAGTGATTTGGACGATCAGATTAAGAAGATGTAGGTTCCTGCCAAAATGTTTCAATGCATTATAATCCAGGGTGAATAGTTGTATTTTTACTGTTGTGATTCTGTCTATTTTTGTCTTCTACATTTTTCTTCTTTGCTATAAAACTGAAACTGTACTTCACTTTCTAATTTCAAAAGTATAACTTAAAAATGTAAATATTGTTCTATATAAATTTAAATATAATTCTGTATATGTGTGTAGATCTCACTGACAATTATTTGTTACTATCATAAAACTATACATCTAATACTGGTGTTAGGCACTGGGGAAATTTTGAGCTAGTTTAAATCACCTCAGTCTTTATAGCAGTTATATTTTCCTGTAGTTATAGTACCGAAATTTAGGTAAATGTGCCAAGTTCAAGTTTCATAATAGTTTGATGTGTTTTTATGCTCTGAATGTTTAAATTTTCTGATCCGTTTCTTGCCATGTGGTAACTATACAACCTGCTTGAAGATGAATATTTTTTTACTGGTATTTCAATTTGTGACCTAAATGTTTAAGCATTCAGGATGAGAGGGCTGTACAGATCTGAGAAATGATGCTAAATTTATAGAGGTTTTCAGTAACTTATAAAACTAACATTAGAGCATGCCAGAGTTTGCTAAATTTTGCAGTCGAAGATCAAGGGCTGTCCTCAGCAGGGAAGAACAGTTTGAAAATTTATGAACTATCCTATTTTTAGGTACATTATGAAAACTGTTTGTCTAAGTGAATTCTTATGCTTTGGCCAGAAGTAATCGCTATGAAGGAGCTGCTTCTCTTGCTTTTAGATCTGACTTTACTTAAAAATTCTGACAATGTTGTTTATTAGCAGCCTTCTACAAATGTTCTAACACACAAATACTTAGCTGCAATCTCTAGTTCTGAGAATTAATTATAATTCTTACCTGTGAGCACCTAGTTTAAATTATTTGCAATCATCAAGAGAAATGTATATAAAAACAGTTTTGTTACTGTTGTAGGATATATCTGTTGTTTCGCTGACCACATTTTCTTCTTTTTTTTTTCTGCTTACCTGTGGCTTGAATCTGCATTCCTGTGTTACTGGTTCTTACTAGGTTGGTTGGGTATGCAATGAGTGATCCATCTTACCCTTTTGCACTTGGAGGTGAAAGTGTGGATCACTTTCTTTGGCGGTGGGACAGTTGGCAGTTGGTTGCTTTGTTGTAGAAATTATGGAAAGCCACCTGGCTGTAAAAGAATTCAGAGCCTGCAGATGGAAGTCATTCGGAGTCATATTAGGGAAAGTTGTTAAGATTTCATGGTGGGAATCTGGGAAATGAAAATCGCACAAAAGATTTCAGATGGTGCAGTAGTGTGCATATCTACCAGCTTATGTTCACTTACAGAGGAAGTGGGACTTTAAAGTAGAACTATTTTTCAAATTGCAACGCTTTAGTATTAACTACTAGAGTAGAATTAGCATTAACCACTAGAGTAGAAACTATCAATGTTTATCAGTAACACAAATATGTGATGAGTGTTTGGAACCTTAAAATATGGCAGAACGACTTCTCTCAGTTGAGCCTAATTGTCTAAAATGTCAATAATGCACCCATTTAGAATGCTATGGTGGACCACGGCAAGAACATAGATGGTAGAACACTGGCATTGCTGTAGGGTTTGATCTACTTTTGATCCTGCTTCAAATATTTGTGTGATAATATAAAATATGTCAATTTCGGGGACTTGGTGAAAAGCTACTGAATCAGATACTCACCTCATGCATATTTTTAAATAAATTTATGCTGTGGGGGCTCTGCTTAATTATAAAATGACTAGGCCATTGGTTTTTGCTCCATTTCTGAACTGGACCAGTTCACCCCTCCTTAGGCCACTTCCAGGAGGTCACCATATTGATGCCAAATTTAGTGTGGGCACAGACTGGCATACCACACAGCAGCCCAGAACTGAACCCAAGCGGTCCTCCTACTTCAGCCTCCCCAATAGCTGGCACTGTAGGTGTGGGCCGCCATGCCTGACTAGGCCATTGGTTTTTAAATCTGTAGTGTGCCAGAAGTCCCTTGGAGCTGCCTCTGGCACTACCCTAAACAATTCTGATTTTGAAATTGGAAAATGCATCCCAGAAATGTATTTCTTTTAAAAGCTTCCCAAGCTCATGACAAAGTTGTTATCAATTGATGGTGAGTTTGATGACTGGACATGTATCTAATTTTGTCCTAAAACTCCATAGCATCATGCAATATTTTAATTCTTTTTCTGATTCAGTCTATGTTCTTCAGAGGAAGAAGTGGACTATGCATCATATATAATCATTGATGTGAGACCTTTACACAGCACTATAATTACTAAAAATCTTAAATGTTATCCAGCCTTGGAGGTTTTTCTTTTTTTTAATTTAAATATATTAGCAATAAAAATGCAGAACAGTCAATACAAAATATACAGCAAACTACTATGTATATGAGCATGGCATATATAAATTAAAAGTTCTAAAATAATAGTATTTTAGAAGAGTTAATAAAATGGCCTAATAAAGTTCTTCTAGGGACTTAAAAGCTAAAATTTTAATTAAATGTTTTAAAGTGCTTGAAAAGACTTGGAAGCTGTTAGATGGAGCAAACTTTTTAGTTCTTTAGCAAGAGGTGGCTCATGGTAGGTCCATTTTTAATGGAGACCACCATGAAGCAGCCCTGAGCAGGGCTCAGATTAATCAATTGGCTTTTCATGTCCACGTGTGAATCTGAACAAGGCCTAGGCTCCTTGTCTGGAAATAGTGGCCAAGTGAACCTCTGTGAGTCACTAATCCCTACTAAGACCTGTAGTGGCAGTGAAGCTCAGAAAGCCTCAAAGGATATGATGACAGCCAACACACCTGGATCCCATCTCAACTGGATAAAGACTATAGCCTCAGGCATCTCACTCCTGGATGGATTAATTTATTACCTTACTTGAAGTCCCTGACTGATTTCTCCCTTCTTCTGATAACCAAATAAATACAGGCCACCCAGAGAAGGTCTTAGTCTTAGCCCTAAGAGAATCTTAAATTTGGGGAGAGGGCTCTTGTCCTCCTGGAGCCCTGAAATCACTCTATTTTTCTCTTTTTATTTAGCCTTCCCTGTACACTCTTGGGAGATTGCAGACCCAATCAGCCCGCAGTAACTAAGGGATATTATTAACCTGATACATTTTAATTTATGATTTTTTATATATAATTAATTTATGATTAAATAGTTGCTATATTCAAACGAATCAGCAAGCTTTTATAGAACAATAGAATTCTGCATTGTTAACTGATTAATAAAATGCCTGCCTTAGTGTTGAACAAGCTCTCCAAGGTAAGATGCAGTTTTCAGTTCAGCTGGTTTTCCTACTTTCTTGGGTAGCAGTTTTCCCATCTATCTGGGGAGCTCTCCACTACTGCCTGTGATCCTAAGGGGTCCTGATTTGGGGCTTGTTGAGTCACAGTATACACTAACCTGACAGTACTTGATCCAAGGTTACATAGATGAACTAACAAGGCCCCCGAGGGCCCTGCTGACATTAAGCCGGGGTGGTGAGTGAAGAGCCTGAGAGACATATCCACTGTGGAGCCAGTGGAGGTGAGATTTAAAATGTTCTTAGAATTCCCTGTTTTACTGCAGCTTCTGATATTGATGTGTATACTGGTACTAATGTAAGTGTACTATGTGTTGACCTTTCAAAGGACTTAAACTTTGAGGGAATGTTTATACTGTATGTGGTGCCTACTTTTTACCAGTCTGGAGTACAAATCTTTAATTACAGACTTTTCTACAGGTACTCACTTTGCCTTGAGAAATGATTTCAAAACCATTACTGTACTTTTCTGTTAAGGAAATAATGCAATAACAAAAGGAGAATGTACGTGGGAGAATTTATTTGCTAAAGATTATGAGTAGTTCTTTATATTTGAAAGAAGCTTTATAGTAATTAAGTAGCATATGCTGTTTTTTTTGTGGGTCTCAAACTCAGGACCCTGTACTTGCCAGGCAGGCACTTACACCACTGAGCTAGATCCTCAGCCCAACATATGCTATTTCAATAGAAGTTTTCTATACTATAAAAATGCTGTGAACTATAAAATCACAAGAATGATGATACCCTAATGCATCCTTTAAAGAAGAAAGATACATTTCCCAACCGAACATAGCCATTCGCCTCAATGGCCCTGGTGTCATGACAAATGTGCAAGAAAATAGAAATGCGTTCATGAAGCGTGTTTATTGCTTCTAGGATCCAAAAGGGAAGCAGAGCATTTGCTTCATCTTAAATCTTGCTAGAATCTGAGCAGTTCTAGAAATACTCTGGCTTCTGCTTTAAAATACTCTTCATCCACAAGCACTATGGAAGTAGCTCAGAACATTCAAAGATCAGTTTTCCAGATGAACACAAAATGCTACATTTTTGACTGGTCAACATCAATTTGAAGCCCCACAACCTGGATGACAAATGTAGTCTTCAGGTCTTAATTTCCTGTACTAACAGGCTCATTGTCATGGATAAAAATGCCTCATGTCTTTTCCCCCACATTTTGGCGTCCACATGTAACCCACATGCATTTGGCAAACAAGTCGTTCCAAGTTAATGATAAAACTTTAGATTGAGTGCATCATTTAACGAATCTTACAGATGAGGGGACTACAGATTTCAACCATAGTGTGAAATGGAACCTGAATTTACTAGTAAGGATTTCTGTGGTTTGGATCTGCTCAAATGAGATTGGAGTCTATAGTAGAGGCAGGAAAGAAATTACGTATTTTGAGAATGGAATAGAGAATTCAAATATCCAGTGGAGAGAAGGAAGTAAGATCTGAGAAAGGTGCATAAAATGGGTTTTCAGTTCTTAAAAATTAGAAGTGAAAAGGATAATAATACAAGTAGCTAGAGACCAGGCCCACCATTACATAGGTGTTTGGGTGAATTCTCTGCCTCCATTTCAAGGGTAATTGAAGCTTTAAAGGATATTATGGATATTTTTAAATAGCCATATTCCAAGCAGTACCTATGCAACTCCAGTTTAATTACAGGCATTTATCAGGCAATAAGAAACATTGGGGTAGTATTACATCATCATAAGGTCTGTGGCCCAAAAATACCTAACATACATATATAGTAAAAGCAATGAGCTCAGACTTCAAGAGAAATGTGTCTTGTGTTTCCACATTTGGAATACTTGCTAGCATGGCCAAAAGGCAAAGGAATAAACAATATTCAGAATGCTTAATAGCATTAAATAAAAGGATTGTTAAACAAAACTGGACTTAAGCAGATGTTTATTTAAATACAAACAGCAACTCCTACTTTTCCTGTTATCTCCAATTACATGATGCAACATTTTTACCAGAAGTGGTTTTTAAAAACAGGCCTGCCAGGGAGTGAATAAACAATACTATATTTGGCTAACAGCTGTTTAGGGGAAATGAGATGTCAGCAAAGCTGAATGTTGTTTAAAGAAAACTAATTATCCAGCTACCTTTGACTCAGATCAAAGTAAATAAGACCCTTCCTGAATTGCACTGCAATGTTTTGTCTAGGGTTTAAATGTTTGATGTTAGATATTTCACTTCCTCCATCGTTTGCCATGTGGAGTGAATGGATTGAAAGGATTCCTGTGTTGAGCTGTGCTACCAATACACATCCCTTTATGTTTTCTGAAGCTGCACAAAACTTGCTTCTCTGCTCATTCACCACCCACTATGTGTTCAGCCTGGAGCAATGTGTTTGAGGATGCATTAAACATCTAGGTAACCTAGTGACAGTATGATTTGGTTGCATTTGTATGCATTTAATTATGCAAGTGTCAAAGTTTGAGTGATGTCTAATTTAATGCTTAGAATTTGAAATAATGCAGATACCACCAATTTTGGAGAATTTAAGTTCGCAGCTGACTGACTTGTGAACTGGTTTGCCTTGTTGCCGCGTCGCTTTGCCGATACCTACAGTCCTTTGTCCAGGCTGTGTGCACACAGCTGTAGTCCCCAGAACCACAACTGCAGGTGCCTGTGGTAAGGACTCTGCTTGTTTGAACATTTTCTGTTACCACAGCGTGAGATATTTTTATGTCCCGACACAATCTCATCTGTGTACTCAGTGGGGATGATATTCTAGTGTTGAAAAGCGCCTGAAAATTAGGAATATGTGAATGAACTTGAGTGTGCTTTTAGTGTCACAAGGAAGGCCAAATAACTCCCATGGAACATTTTAGAGCAAGTGCTTCATAAAATGTTAGTGATAATTTTGAGAAAATAGAAAGCATCATTAAAGCACAAATGTGATATAACAGCTATGGATTTTGAAGAAACGTCTTCCTCTTTCTACTGTTTCCTTGGAAAATTTTATGTTATTTAAATTCTTCAGGAATATATCTAAAATCTGGCCCAGATTGTCAGGTAAACATTAGAAAACACTTCTAGAAACGAAATACTTTAAAAATAAAAACAAATCATTAAAAAAGGAAACATCTCTGGGACAGATTTAACGGTTCTATACCTATTCGTCCAGGAAGTGTCTACTGAGCACCTGCGTGAGCCCAACTGGTAGGATGTAAGGACGCTGTTTTGAAGTAAACACAGTTCTTGCTCTGGTAGGTTTTATATCCTCTCATGGGGAAGATGGATTCTTACAAGTGAATAAATGTAATTGGGGTTTTTAGAAAGACTTCATGTTTCAAGTTTTGACTAAGGCATCATAGCATCTTGATAGTCATATTCGTAAAGAAGTGTCCAAGAGTCAGCCCCACACCTCCTAGGCCCAGGATAAGTTACACAATTTATGGAGATCACTGCAAAATGAAAATGCAGAGCCCTTTGCTCAAAAATACAAGAAGATCAAGTCAGCAACAGCCAAGCACAGAATCAGTGCAGCACCCTGTGACTTTACGGGTCACACACCTATCAAGTGGGCCCTGCTTTGATCCTTCAGCCGATGAAAGAAGAGTGAAGAGGCAGATCCAGGGGTGGCAGTCCTGAGGGCTGCTGCTGTGCTATAAGAATGCTGCCCTCTAACGGGTGTAATGGGGAGGGGGTCAAAGCAACCCCCGGAGGAGCTTGGGAGCATGTTTCTTGCCACTGTGAGATAGAACCAGTATCTGCTTGCGGTCTGGCAAAACAAGTTTGGAGCATGACTTCTACCCCCGGCATCTGCAGGGTGATAAAGGGAATATCGGTGTTGAGGTTTCCCCCATGTCTAGAGTGCTGGGGACAAAGGGCTGTGTGCCTAGCGCTCTAGAGCCATGAGGGAGAGAGCTGGAGGGAGGTGTTGGCCAGGCCACACTTGGGACACGCACCAAGTCCTACCTCTGAAACGGAACAGGGACCACCCCTGCCAGTACTGAGCCCACATCACCCATCTCCCAAGCTCTTGTAAAATTGAGATTATTAATAATGATACGTTGTTGCCATGTACCCCTCATCCAGCTTCATTATTCTGCATTCAAAACCCACAATATACCTCTCCTTAATCACACCCCTTACCCCAAATAAAGATTATTTATGTTAAACTTCTCTTTATGCTTTTACAATCTGTTTATCAGTCTATCGTGTTGCATGCTTTGTGTTACATAAATGATATCAAATGTTTTGAAATTTATTTCTTTGGCTTGGCTCTGTCTTGGGAGGTTTGTCCACGTTGATAAGTGTAGCTGTATTTCTTCTGCTGTCACTGCCGTATGGTATTTCATTGTACGACTCTAATAACTCATGGACGTTTTCTCCTATCAAGAGGAGAAAAATACCTACTTCTTAGGCTTTCCCTTAGGATCAGCTTGTGGGGCTACCCCAGCCTCCCAGTGTGTGGGATCATAAGTGTCTGCCACCACATCAAGTTCAGTGAAGCTTTCGTTTCCTTTCCTTGAGTTTTTTTATGCATGATTCTACACAGGTCGTTTTTTCATTCTTTGTTTGTATCTGACATCCATTTGCCCTCCCTGCTCTGCTTTGTGTTCAGGGATCTGACCCACACAGGCTTTTCTTCCCAGAATCCCTGTGTCACCCGGGCTCCCTCTCCTCAGTCTCAGGTGGTGTCACTTCTGCAGTTCCGGCATCCACTGGATGGGCCCACCCTGGTTCTAGCTTCCAGAAACTCCAGTTCACACCTGCTCTTTGCAGGCCCATGTGCT